AAAATAAACAAAAAAATAAACAAAATTCAAATTTCAAAATGCGACATACGCGTCATGCTGATTTTGATTTCCTATTTGGAGATTTTAAATTTTTTCTTATTATTATAGAAACCACATATATTAAATCATGGCCTACAGTACTACAGTACCAAACTTAAATATTGATTGAAATCGCGTATATTAAAAAGGCTTATATTTTTTAAAAAAAATGAGTCAAGTTGACATATTATTCGTTGTAGAAATTATGACTCATCAAAGAAAAAAAATATGAAAAAAGATTGACGATCATTTGTCGACGATCGTTGGTGTTTATATCTAAAGGGAAAATTTCAAAAAATCATTTCAGTTTCAAAACATAATCACAATTAACATAATGCTTACGAAAATTTCTAACTTTTACCGTTTCCCAATAACGAAACAAATCATAAATTTACCTTTTACAACACAAGTAACGAGGAATCGCTCTATAATTGTTCCAGCATTTAAACAATATCGTTATATGAGCAATGAAGCAAAAAAAGATAAATTAATAGTTTTTGATACAACTTTACGCGACGGGGAGCAGGTAATCATTTTCATTGTGAAATAAACGTGTATTCCTTGCGAATGAATTAAACCTTATCTTTTGTTTGCCTGAAAAAATATTTTTTTTTTAGTCACCGGGTGTAACCTTCAAAGCGGAAGAAAAACTTGAAATTGCTCGACACCTTTCCAGTCTTGGTGTTGATGTTATCGAAGCCGGGTTTCCTATTGCTTCACAGGGAGATTTTGAAGCAGTAGCTCGTATTGCAAGGGAAGTTGGTCCTTCAATGAATGGAAGAGAAAAAATAGGCAAGCCTGTGGTTAGTAGTTTGTGAAAATTCATAATACGATTTGTGTTTTTTGATTTAAATTCACAAGAAAATGTGCATAAATTTTAGATTATAGCTGGACTGTCTCGTGCTACTGAAAAAGACATCAAACGTTGTTATGTTGCTGTATCACAAGCTCCCTTACACCGAATTCACACGTTCCTTGCCACGTCAGATATACACCTAAAATATAAACTAAAGATTGATCGTGAGGAATGTATAAGGCGCGCCGCTACAGCGGTTGAGTATGCAAGATCTCTTTGTAATGATGTAGAATTTAGTAGTGAGGATTCTGGTAGAAGTGATAGGGAATTCCTATGTCGGGTCTTGGAAAAAGTTATTGAGGCAGGTGTAACAACGATTAATCTACCAGATACAGTTGGTTATAATAACCCAGTTGAATACGGAGGATTAATCAAGTATTTGATCGAGAATACACGTGGATCAGATAAGGTAAAAAATGATTTTACTTTGTTATTATTTATTTTTTTTTTTGCCAATACAATTTACATTATTTTATAGGTCATTTGGTCAACTCATTGTCATGATGACTTGGGATTGGCCACTGCAAATACTTTATCTGGTGTCCTAAACGGTGCCAGACAAATCGAAGTATCTATAAATGGCATTGGCGAACGTGCTGGTATGGTTGTTTCTAAATGGAAGGAACTTATATATTAAGCATCATATTTTTAATATTTTCTAATCTGTCTTCATTTTTATAATATAGGCAACACTCCACTAGAAGAAGTGATAATGAATATCCACACACATCCCACTTCTTACCCCGTGTATCATACTATCAATACACAACAAATATATCGTACTTCTAATTTAGTTTCATCTCTTTCTGGAATGGTGGTGCAACCTAACAAAGCAATTGTGGGTGCCAATGCTTTCCTACATGAATCTGGTATTCATCAAGATGGTGTATTGAAGAACAAGCTAACTTATGAAATTCTTCGTCCTGAAGACGTTGGTGTTATAAATGTAAACTTAGTTTTGGGTAAACTTTCAGGTCGAAACGCGTTTCGTTCGCGAATTGCAGAATTAGGATATGGTGATATGAATGAAGAAGAAGTTGGCGCAGCCTTTGAAAGTTTTAAAGCTCTTGCCGACACAAAGAAACGTGTTACGGAGCATGACCTTTTGGCCTTATTATCAGATCAGGTTTCTTCCGGAGCTGTAGTCGGATCACAACGATTTAATTTGCAATCAATTCAGGTCGTCTCTGGTACTCATGATATGTCGACTGCAACAGTTAAGTTGCTAGATGTTCCAGAAAATAAGGAACTAATTGATGCTGCCATTGGACGTTCTGGACCAATTATGGCAGTATTTGGAGCCATCCAACGCTTAGTACAACGAAAAATACGTTTATTGCATTATGAAGTTCGTGCCGTTTCAGAGGGAATGGATGCTTTGGGAAAAGTTATTGTTAAGATTACCGAAGATGTTGATTTTTCTTTAGCAGATAATGGCTCTCCCGAAGTTGAGACTCCAATTGATTCAAGAGTACTGACTAAAAGTACATATCATGGTCATGGTACGGATGTAGATATAGTTACAGCAAGTGCAAAGGCTTATATAAATGCAATTAACAGGTTGGTTGAAGAGGAACAATATTCTAAAACTGGATTAGGGAGAAGTTTGTTGCCTGAGAGACGTGCAGAAATATAAGTAATCTTGTTCTTACCTTTATTACCTTTGGTATATCTTAAAATTAAATAGCATGTCAAATAAATATATATATGTAAAAAATTTTTATTTTCATAGTTTTTATTTAATATATATATTTAATTTTTTATGTATCCTCAGTGCATAATGTTACGATGCCTTATAATAATATTATTTTTGCATTCAAAATACAAGTGGCGAATAGGATCTGCGTCTCGTAATTTATTTTAAATGTATCGTAAAATTCAAAACGGTTTGGGCGATTGGTGTCAATGTGTTAATTTAATTGTGCATGACTAATCTTTCTTGATCGTTATCCAAAAACCAATTTGATTAAGAGTTTCGAAGTTTATAAAACGAAAAACAATTTAGTTATAACAAGACAAAAGATTATTATTATTTGAAATTAAATAATTTGTTCAATTTATTATGTAAAAATTGCAGTACTCTCGATATACCGAAGCTTTCGTTCAGAGTCAAGAGTCGACTGTAGTTTGTTATAAAGTTCATTGATTTCGACTTCATTGATCTTTTTTAGAGTCATTTTGTTTACCTCTCCATGTTTTCATTCCATCATTAGCCCCAGAAAACTTGACAAAAATTATAAAACAGAGATATAAGTTTGTCATTCAAATTATTTGGAATAATGATAAAATAGTATATATACCTTGTGAACGAGATCCTGTATGAATGATGGAAGGAATCTCAATAAAGGCATCAAATAAACAAAGTAAGGTTTGAAGATGACATGTCCTTCATTTTTATCTAACGCAGTAATGATAGGTTTTACCACATCTAATGGTGCTAAACGAGGCGTAATAAACGGAAACGGAAATTCGACTCCATCAAATAGTCCGGTATCTATTTCACCAGGACATAAAAGAGTTGTGCGAACTTGTTTGGCATTGTATCTTTAATTTTTAAAAAAATAAAATATCGTTTTTAATAAAAAGAGAAACATTATATCTTTAAAAACATTTAATATAAAGATTACCGTGTATCCAATTCATAACGAAGTGATTCGTGAAAACTAATCAAAGCAGCTTTACTTGCACAATAATCGGCTTTAGTAAAATTTCAAAAAAAAATTAATGAATTGCTAATTTATAGTTCAAGTTGAAAAAAGGTTAAAAAAAAAATTGAAATCCTTGGCTCACCCAATTGAGGCAATCCACTAAATCCAATTGAAGATGCTACCGTTACCTTTGAAATAATTGAGTTGAAAAATTTTGAATTTTAACAGAAAACGTCTTAAATAAACTTTGATTAATTAAATATTTACAATATGACCGTGATTATTCTCAATCATATCCGGTAAAAAAACTTTTGTGGTCCAAAAAGAAGATAGTAAGTTTGTATTTATAGTACTAAACAAATAAAAAAAAGGTGAGATTAAGATTAACCACCATAAATCTAATTTAGATCATGAATTCTAAAAAAAGCTTACTCCGTGATATCGCGTACTGATCCTTCAAGAATGGTTTTCCCTCTAACGATGGCTGCATTGTTTACAAGTATTGTTGGGTTGCCAAACTTTAAGGTGTAAAAATATTAAATAAATAAATAAATACATTCATTATATGAGAACTTGATGAATTTACCTCTTCTATTATTTCTTTACCAACGCGCTGAACCTCTTCATAATTTGATACATCACATTTAAAGTATTCAATATTAACTAATTAATTAAAATCAAGAATATTTAGCATAATTATAGTTTGCATCTCATAACCAATTAAATAAATCATACCATGCTCATTCTCAGGAGGTTTAACGTCTAATATGATCACCGTCACGTTTCTGATCGCCAATGTTTCGGCTAAAAGACCACCAACGCCACCAGAGCCTCCAGTCACAACCACTATCTCGTCATCCCAGTTAATTTTGGTACTCTTCAAGCCGTTTCTACTCTTTAAACTTAAATAACCCAAAAACCAGAAGAAACACACAATGCCCGCGTATAAACTACTCCATAAAAATTCTGAAGTAGTGAACCCATAGCCTTGAGCGTATAGATACGGAAGGAATATAAGAACAAATGAGGGATGAAAAAATGAGAGAGATAAAATGCGAATGAAAAAATCTATAGAAAGAATCATTTACAATATAATATAATCTTATCTTTATATTTATTTTATTTCTCGAAAATAACAAAGTAATAATAAATAAAAAAAAAAAAAAAAAGTTTACAAGCAAACAAACTGCTTAGAATAATAATAACAATAATAAAGTTTATAAATAATCGTCTGGCTATAGTCGGAATGGCAAGAAATATTTGATTTCGAAACTAACATTTCTATTTCTTTTATTAAAATAAGTTTGAAAGTTACACGGCATAAATTAATTGATTAATTTGATAATTCCAAGCAAAATTGACGCGAAATACGTAACATTTATTTGATTATCAACTGCATTTATAGTTACTTCAACATCTGCTTTTTCTTTCTTTTTGTTTTTTCACATTCTACACCAATGTTGAAGTATATTAATCAAGTTGACATCAAATTTGCTCCCTTTTCACCGTCGGCCAAGTCTTCAAGGTAAACAAATTGAATATCTGTTTCTTACAAATTCTTATTAATTTTTTTTTTTTTCCTTTCTTTTTTTCATAATAGACTTTTCCTTGCAAGAGTTATGACAGACAAGGCCCGTCTTGCAAATCCGGGCGCTACCATTAATACAACAGTCCTTTCCGATCCGAACCAGGATCCAACCATTAACATAATCTATCGTGTGTAGTATATCTCGTTGATCCTTCTAATTTTTTAGCTCTTTGCTTTATAATAATAACCAATAAATTACAATAGGCGACGGGAAAAAGCTTACTCTTCGACCAGGTAACAAGAATATTGACGAGTAAGTAGGAGAGACCTCATTTCATTTTCAATTACAAAGAAAAAAAATAAAAATCATTTAATAACGTAATGATGTTTACACAAGAGTTTTGTATGTTGTAAATAAACATTTGCGAAGATTAAAAGAGGAGGAAGATTTTGCCGCTTAATCCAAGAGGACATAAATCATAAACTCAAAGAACAGGTATTTCATTTTATTTATTCGTGTTTTCTAAGGTCGCAATTTATTATTGCATTGCAATTATCCGTAAATATTAACACTATTAAGTTACATTATTATTCGAAAAGGATTATTTATGCTTTTACAGCAAATTTTCGTTGAGGAAAATGAATGGCCTTTTTATGAGCACTAGAATAATTAAATTTGAATATGATTTTAATTAATATAATAACGTGTGAAGCGTTCATTTTTATAACTTCAAAGAATAAAATTTACCGCAGAGTCGTCTTTTTGGCCTCATTCTACAAAAAAGAAATAAAAAGAGATCAATAAGTTAATCAAACAAATTAACAATTGAACATGATAAATTCTTACTTTTGACAAACGACGACGAATAGCACGAGTTTTTTTCGGTCGAAGATCTGTGGGCTTGTATTTTTTGCCTCTATAGAGCTTGCGAAGTTCGGTTCGTTGCTTCTGTGAGATTACAGTGTTAACACGTGCAATAGACTTGCGGACCTCGCGCCTATGTTTTAAAGTATCATCAACCAATTAATTTTTTTTTTTTCTTAATAATCAAGTAGCTTTCTTCATCTACTGTCTACCTACAGTTTTGTTAACTTTGATGCTGCACCACCAGCGATTTTTTGAACCTTTAAGCTGACAAGTTCTTTCTTAAGATCTTCAAGTTGTTTGTCAAGTTCGGATTTGGTCTTTTCGCGAATCTCGTGAGCTTTGACAGAAGTAGCCTATTGAAATAAATCAATAATTAAATATTAGTTTTCGATATGTAATGATGTTTGAAATTTTGAACTCGGTCATGATTTGAAAATTTTCTAAATCAATCAATCAAAGGATTTATTCCTTTCAAACTTTTATTTAAAAATGCTAGTATTTCATTATTTAATATTTATCCATGAAAGTATATAATATTGATTGAAGATTACAAACGGATGGTAACTATTCCACTCACCATTATAAAATAACTTTAATTTATCTTGTTGCGAGACGTTCTCGTTAAAAAATTTATTTTGATCTTGATTAGAATATCCGAATGATGATAGGTCACGAGTAATTATAAGTCCTTTCTATTTATGGCAAATCATTGGAATATCCTAAATCTTGTTCATTCATACCTCGATATCTCGATATATGTACATTTTATCTTTGATCAAAATTTTGTATCGTCTTAATTTTTTTTTCCTCCTTCGAAATGTCGCTTGCCTCAGTCACTAGAAATAGATTTTCTCTAGCTCTCAAACAAAACAAGTTGTCTTTTAGTGGCAGAATTGCAAGGCCAAAGTATGTAATAATTTTGCTTTCGCATAACTTTTGTTATTGGGTACTTACTAAAAATAACATTTATTGTAAAAAAGAGCCTTTCAACAAGCTATTTTCTCTCGTTATGCTACTTCTATACCGTCCCTTAACTCATTGACCGAAGAAGAAGAAAGTATTCGTGATTTGGGTAAATTAATTATTTCTTTTTTGCTAACCTTTAAAAAACAGCATTAACTTTTCTTTTTAATGAAAAAGCTGCACGTTTTGCGCAAGATAAAGTAAAACCTCTTGTGCAAAAAATGGACGAGGACGAAAGACTTGATCCCTCAATTATTAAAGGCCTTTTTGAGCTAGGGGTTCGTTTATGAATCATTATTGTTATTGTAGTACCTAGAACGTAAACAACCTTTAGTCTAATATATTTTTTTCAGTTCATGGGAGTAGAAACAGAACACGAATATGACGGTACTGGTGCTTCATTTTTGTCTGCTATATTGGTTATTGAAGGTATTTCACCAGATAAATTTAAAGTTGATTTTCAACAAATTTCGAAATTTGTAACATTATTATTTTTTTTTTTTTTTATATACAAAAAGAACTTGCAAAAGTAGATCCTTCTGTTAGTGTTGCATGTGATGTCCAGGTTGGTTTAAAATCAATTATGATATACCGAATATCTAGCCTGACCAAATATTGTTAAAAAAAAAAAATTTCCTCGAAATTTCTAGAATACACTAGTTAATACATTATTTCGCAAGTATGGTAATGACTTTGTGAAAAAAAAATATTTGCCTCAACTTGTATCTGAAAAGGTAACGAACAATTCTTGAGGGATTTGTTATGAAAATTTTCATTCGTAATTTAAATGTAATTTATTCGAACTAAAATCTTAGGTTGGTTGCTTTTGTTTATCCGAAGCCGGAGCTGGCAGTGATGCGTTCGCGTTAAAAACTCGCGCTGAGAAGAAAGAAGGACATTTCATTATCAACGGTACAAAGGCGTGGATCACTAATTCTGCCGAAGCCGAAATTTTTTTGGTTTTTGCCAATTTAGGTAAAATTTCAGAATATTTCTGTTTTGTTTAATGGCTTAATCGAAATTTACGCGTGATGTTTAATTAGACCCTTCAAAGGGATACAAGGGAATTTCATGTTTCATTGTTGAGAAAGGCATGGGAGTCGGGATCGCAAAGAAGGAATCAAAGGTTCATTGCAATTTCATATACATATAAATTATATATGACGTGTATATAATTCACTAATCTAATTAATTTTTTTTTTTTAGCTCGGTATTAGAGCTTCTTCGACCTGTTCATTGAATTTTGATAATGTCAAGGTAATAGGATGATAAAAAAGAAATCCTAACCAAACAATTTTAATTTAGTCTTTATTTCAATGACAAAATCTAGGTGCCAGAAGAAAATGTATTGGGGGAATTATTCAAAGGTAGTACTTTTACGATATTATTATATTTTCGTTTTTCAACTTATAATAATAACATCTTGTCACAATCATAAAGGTTATAAATATGCGATTGAGATTCTTAACGAAGGGCGTATCGGTATAGCCGCTCAAATGATAGGATTATCTCAAGGGGTATATGATCAAGCATTAAGTTATATGTTTCAAAGGAAGGCATTTAATAAATTAATCGGAGAATTCCAGGTAAGCTTTAATATTTGTAAATTATTTTATTAATGATATGATCAAGAAAATAATGTGATTCATTTTAAAGGGCATGCAACATCAATATGCTCAAGGTAAGAAATTTACACACAGATAAGTGGGTACAAATCAACTAGTTATCTGATATAATTTATATTACATTACAGTGGCCACGGAAATAGAAGCTGCCAGATTACTAACTTATAATGCGGCTAGGTTGAAAGAAGAAGGAAAAGATTTTATTAAAGAAGCAGCTATGGCAAAATTATATTCATCTCAAGTTGCTGAAAGGACCGCATCCAAGGCTATTGAATGGATGGGTGGTGTTGGTTTTACGAGAGAATTCCCAGTTGAAAAATATTACAGGGATGCGAAAATCGGTTCCATTTATGAGGGCACTTCCAATATTCAATTGACGACTATTGCGAAGTTAATAGCCCGTAATTTTAAATAAATTATTTTCAAAATTTTGTATTTAAAATTCTATTTATATAATAATAATAATAATAATAATAAAAAAAAAAACTGTAAAAATAAGATTTAAGATTATCATATTAATTAATAGAAACTTTTTGATCTTTTTCAGCACTATTAACAATTTCTAACTTGCTCAATCTCTCAACAACGTAATTTGGATCAAACCATCCATAATAAATATTCACAGTTTTCAAAATATAAATTACTTTTTGATTTTCACTAATAATGGTATCATTAATTGTACCATGATAATCCACTTGCGAGGAATAAACTAGAATTCTATTCATACAATCACGTAAATAGGCGAAATGAGTTTCAACATCGGAAGAGGATTGTTCGGATTTTTTAAGGGAGACTATGTAGCGTGTTTTTGCATTCGTATAATTAACTTCATCAGTATATTCTGGTGGACATGTTATGGACAGAACAGAAGTGGTAAGAATTGTGAATAAAAGAACAGAGAAAAAGAATTGTGAGAGACTTTGTGATTTCATTTTCGAAAATTTCTTTTGAAGGGAAAAGGGAATAAATGAATTATGTTCATACGATTGTATTTTTACCTTTTCGTGTGTAACAAAAGGAAAATGGCGGGATCAAAAGATCTACAACGCATAATATAATTTTTTTTTTTTTTTTTTAGCGCTTTAAAAACTTAATTGCTTGCATATGAAAGGCGATTGTTTGTTAGTTTTAACCCACCCATTATTAGTAGAAAGAAAGCATGCCCTCTCTTTCTTTTTTTAAATAAAAAAAATGTAATTACATCATGAATGATAATTTATTTGTATAAACAATGAAATAAAGTGATCAAACTTTTGTATCATTTTTACCAGAAAGTAACCGTCATCTAGATGACATATCGACATAATAAAATCGTGAAAGTCGTGAAAATAAGTAAAGGACGTAATGTTTTCGTGATCATGACATATTGAACATTTTTTTCTTCTCATTTCAATGAGATTGGGCAATTAATATAAATAACCCACCGGAGAATAATATCTTTTCACTCCCACAACAACCAAAAAAAAATATATATATCTAAAGCTTTACCCAAACCTTATAAAAATTTTATCCAATTTCTTTTTTATTAAAAAATAAAAATGCCCGTTGATAAATCCGGAGAAGAAATTTCACCTGTCGTCAGCTTGGACGACCTTAAGGTCGGCCAACGAGTTCTTTACCATCCAGTCGGAGGTTCTCAACAGACTACCGAAGGCGTTATCAAGGAAATTATTACCGAACCTGAAGTAAGAGAATGATAATTAATCTTGATCGTTCACTCTTTTTTAAAATGTCACTACATTTAATATGATCCTTGTCTATCAAGGTTGCGGGTCATAGGCAAGTTCAAGTGAAAGCGTCTGAAACTGATCCAAGGATCTTGATTGAGAATTCAAACACCCATAAAGTAAGGATTTATTAATTTATTCACGTTCATAAAAAAATATTTTTCAAATGTGAAAGAACCCAATTTAATTTAATTTTTTTTTTTCCTGTATGTTAGGAAACAGGCAAGGATATAATTTAAAACGAATTCGTTCTTTTATTAACGATTTTATTTCTCATATAATGATTACATGTTTGATTTTTTGAACTTTTAACCAAATGACAGCTTACAAGCTTGTGAATATTGAAAAGATCCTCGAGTAAATAAAGTAAATTAACGCAAGCCGAATATGACGATCACCTAATCAAAGTACGCGTCGATTTCAAGAAATTTCTTTTTTTTTTTTTTTTTTCCTTTTCTCTACACATGTTTTCTGTTTTCTGTTTTCTGATTACGAAATAAAGATCTCTTGTTTTAAAAATCATAAAAAGTCTCTTTCACGCGTGTGTGGTAGCCAAATCAATCAATGCTCATCAACCTGCTAAATAGAATTTGGTTAAAAGTTCTTGTTGTATGATGAATGATTTATAAATTACGTAATTATGCGTCATCTGATTTTTAGTCTCGAATTATTTTGCCCGTCAAAAATTAAATTTTAGGATATCATCATAGTGTTGTTATCCAAAAGTGGGAGGGAATTTTAGTATATAAGAGGGGAGTTTTAACAACGACCAAAAAATAAATAAATAAATAAATAAATTTTCAGATCAATCCTTTCGAAAAAAAAAAAAATTGTTTTTAATCTTTATAAAAAGAATATGTCGACTCTATTTTTGAAATCGCGTCAATTGTTCGCAGGTTCATTTCTCATGCAAACTCGTCAATTCTCGTTCAAATTTTCACGAGTCCTTTCACCTCTTGGAAGGTAATAAAAATTAAAAAAAATTTAAAAGTAGCTTTGAAATAATTTTTTAATTATACGTGTTTATTTAGTCACATGTCTATTGATCCGGAAATTGTAAAGCAAGAAAAAGAAAAGGTCGTGAAGAGAGGTTAATTATACTTTAAAATTTAACAATAAAAAAAAAAAAAAAAACTCGATTTGGGGTAATAATTATTTTAAACAATTCAATTGATTAGAAAAAACGAGTACAATTAAATCAGCTCCAGGGTGGAGTGAAAATTTAGCATCCGAAAGCGAAGCAGCGGTAAGATTTACATCCAATCATAAAATCTTACGGCTTTTAAAAATCTCAGTCCCTTTCTAATTAAATTAGGTCAAAGCGGAGAGAGATCATTCGGTTACCATCGAAGATTTGCAAAATCATTCGATTAATATTATTGAACAACATCATGGTGATAGACAAGAACAACCGCGACAAGAACAATAATAATTAGTTGTTTATAAACGAATTAAATCAACATTTTGTTAATAAAATTTATATGATAATTACAAATAAAATATGATCGTTATTGTTTTTCCAAATTCATTAGAAATAATATGTGTTTGTTTGCTTGCAGTTTATTGAACGCTGCATAAATAAAGAAACCTGTATTAGTCATTTAATCGGGTCAATCATCAAAAATTGGAAATTTGATGTGCGAAAAATATCTATTTAATTCATAAAAAAAAAAAAAAAAAAAAAAATTATTCCTTAAAAATGTCTACTCAAGGAACAAAAGAACAAGCTACAAAATGCTTTACAGACCTATTCCCCATTCTCACCGAAGAATTTTTGAAGGAAGCTCGTACTAGAAATTTTCCTGAAGAATCTGTGGAATGGATTAAGAAGGCAAATAATTAATTTTAATTTTTTTGAACAAACTTTCGATTATTTATTAACTCGATATTAAATTAATAGAATTTTTATCATAATGTTCCCGGAGGTAAATCGAACTCTTTTGACGAATAATTTCGATAAGTCTTTTTTTTAATAATATAAAATAATTAGGAAAAATGAATAGAGGATTATCGGTTGTTGATACACTCAAAATCTTAAAGAATGATCAATTGACCGAAGAAGAACTTTTTAAGTCTCGAGTTTTGGGATGGTGCGTCGAGTTTGTATGTATCATATAATTATATCATTATTGCGTCATTATATCAATTAATGATGTTATTCATAGCTCCAAGCGTTCTTTCTCGTTGCCGATGACATCATGGATGCATCGATCACTCGTCGTGGAAATCCATGTTGGTACAAAATGGTAAACATTCATAGTTTGTTTGTTTTTTTAATTTTTGGAAAATAGAATTTAATTGTTTCTCGTGAAAAAAAAAAAAAAACTTTATTATAGGAAGGTGTTGGTATGATTGCGATTAATGACGCATTCATATTGGAGTCTGCTATTTATTTTTTTTTGAAAAGGTATTTTCGCCAAGAGCCATATTACATTGATTTGGTTGAATTGTTTCATGAGGTGAATGCAAAGAGGAAAATCAATTTATTTTATTTTAATGATCTTATTCTAAACCTCTTTGATAATTTGTATGCTTGATAGATCACATTAGAAACTGAATTCGGACAGCTTTTGGATTTAATAACTGCACCCGAAGACAATGTTGATTTGAATAGATTTTCAATTGAAAAGTATGTATTACATATTGTGTGATATTGTTTACATTTCTTATAATTTACCATTATTCATTGATTTTAGATACCACCACATTGTACTCTATAAAACGGCTTTTTATTCATTTTACCTTCCAGTTGCGCTTGCAATGCACATGGTACGTTATTATTACGGATCATTCGATATAGTTAGAGCATGATACGTAAGTATAACCTGTAAAACCCGTTATTTTCCTTAGGCTGGAATTAAAAAGGAACTGGCCTTCCAGCAGGCAAAGAAAATTTTGTTGCCATTGGGCGAATATTTTCAAATTCAAGTAAGTAGAATTGAGACGCGATGTTTTTTTTTTTTTTTTTTTTTTTTTTTTTTGATCCTAAAACTTTAACGATTTTGGATAGGATGATTACCTTGATTGCTACGGAGACCCACAAGTTATTGGAAAGATCGGAACTGATATCCAAGATAATAAATGTTCTTGGTTAATGAATAAAGCATTAACAAAAGTATCTCCTGAACAACGTAAATTATTAGATGTGAGTAAAGAATAAACTAATCATTATCATTATCGTTCAAAGATTTAATTTTTTTTATTATTCTATAATTTAGGAAAATTATGGAAAGAAAAATCCAGATAATGTTGCCGTTATTAAACAAATTTATAAGGAACTAGAACTTGATAAATTATATAAAGAATATGAGGAACAATCTTATAAAAAATTAAACGATTGTATTTCACAATTAGATGATTCTCTTGTTAAACGTAAAGTATTTATTACTTTTATGAATAAGATTTATAAAAGAACTAAATAGATTGATTTATCTAAAGCTGAATAATTTTTTAATGATTTAATTTATGAAATAATAAAAAGCTTTATGAATTGAATCTTTTGATTATTTTTAAACTTAATTTATTATTGCATTCATCATTAAAACCTACGATATTAATATTTAAATTCATTTTGAATGGATGATTGCAAACTTTATTGTCATTTTCGAATTGCCAATCTAATAAAAAGCAAAAGTACAACTTTTACTTGTTGCATGGAACTATATTTTTACAAAGTTAGTGAAAATAGCAAATTTTTAAGAATCCACACTTCTTGGTTTGTGGTGAATGATGTTATATATAATAATTAAGTGAATTGGAATATTCAAGGGAAAGGATTTGTAAAAGGACCCAAAACTTATCTCGAGCGAAGTGATGTCTATTGATGAACAATTTTGGAAGATGCCGTTTCGTACATTGGGTTAAGCACGTTTCTGTGAATACTTTTAATCCACTTTCTTATCTGATTAAGAAAACCCATAACGAATTCTGGATCATTTTTCCAACAGATTTTTTTTTCAAAAAAAGGTCAAACTGGGATCTCATCTATTAACGCTGCTGAAATGAAAACCCCCACCCCCATTGTTTAAATTTTTTTGACAGGTGTTTAATTAATCTGCCAAAAAATTATCAAAATCTCCCATTCATTAGTCCGGAACGAAGTGAAGGACTATATATTTCTATGCAAAGTGTCCCGATGTCCGCCCGCTCAATAATTGGGTCGATGCTGATTGGCTTTTGTAATTGCACAAGTCTAGATAAAGCAAATACCAGTGTGAATTTTTTTTAGTTAAGATCGTTCCGGGCTTAACAATGGTTCCCGTTTCCTAGTCTACCTTTTTTCTCGTAAAATGAACGACGAATCATCTCCTGCTACGGTAATGCTACTCACTCCTATTTACAAGTAACCCCCAGAATTAATTTCTCCTCTAGAACTAGAGGGAATGTTGCGCCAAGAGTGCGGACGGATCGTCGAAGGAATAATTTTCGGATTGTTTCATCCATTTGGAAATTTTTTTTACTCTCTTGAGGTTATTGAGATGACGAATGACGATGATGTTTTTTTTGTTTCCGATCCCATCTTTAGGTAGATTGGATTCAGTAAGTCACTCAGTCATTCAATACGGGAAACTGGAAAGAATGGATGTTTGAAAAACCTAATCACTAACTCGGGCGACATGCCTTAATAGGGTAGCATCCAGCCAAGCCAAGTATAGAAACTAATTATCTCTCACTTAATCTTGGTGAACCTTCTTTTTTCCATAAATTTCAATCTAAACGAAATTAGTTTTTTACCAAAAATAAAAATGGTCAAATTTTTAGATAATGCAATTTGAAACCGTAGAGTAGCAACAATATATCGACGAATCTTACCTAGAGATTCTACTTAAAATGCTCGACCAAGTTAGATAACACCAAAAGTAACCGCAAGGGTTCGATCGTTTGATGGCCAAGAAGAATCACGAGATTATAAAGGTTCGTTACTAATAACAAGAGAAATATTAATAGGTAAGATTAAACGATAATCATAGATGATTAACTTTACGTAAATAATTAACATCAGTTAAGCATGAATGGTAAAAGATAAGGTTATCAACAAGCAAGAAATGACTTCTTTTCTGACTCGTCATCTTGTTCATCAGTTGCAAAAATAAATTCATTCATTTAAAAAAAGTAAACATACCGAAAGCACTGTATCTATGTTACTGTAACCTTTGAAAACTTTTGATTCCAAAACTCTAACTGTGTTAAGATAAGAAAAGAAGAAAAATTGATAAGAATATAATATATTTTATATCATTCGTTTTCATTATCATTAAGATGAATTTCTTTTTTTTTTTTTTTTTGCTCAGTCCAATTATGGTGCAAAATTTTATCAACACAAATTTTCAGCCGGTAATTCCAGCTTTTATTGCATTATTCATCCTTGCAAAAAAAAAAAAAAAAAAACACCTCACGTTCTCTATCCCAATATTTAAATAATGATACGTTACCTTTCATGTTTATTTCCGCCAAAACCTTTGTTTATATTACAAAACAGAGAGAGAGAGATGATTAGTATTGAATTGGAACAAATTTTCTTATCACTTTTATGACCTCATTTGTTTTGATATTATCAGTTTATGCACCTTATAATCATTGATTTATTCCTCAGAAACTCTAGTTTGATTTTTTAATGTACAAGGTCATCATATGAAAAAATTTTTTTTTTGTTTTTGTCTTTTTATTTTCTTGATATACGATATTAAAAAACTACATACCCTTCATTTCATCACAACTGATAGTAAAGATGTAAGGATTGGATAATTGCATTGGAAAGGTTCATGATATGGTTATTTAAAAAATAAGGATGGGATTAAATATATATATAATTTTCTTGATTTTTTATCGTTGATCAGCTGGTCAATTGACCAATCATAGCCTTAATTCACAAAAATTCTCGACCAATATCTTTAAATAATATATAATTGATACAAAATTACGAAAATGTTAAGAACTTTTGATACCAAAAAAGAATCTTTCCAATCAATGGATTATTACCAAACAATTACGGACAATTATAAAAATTTCAAAAGTTGGAAACGTAACTCACGTCAAAGGTGACAAAATCAAAAAGGGTAGTACCTTTAAAAAAGTAGTTTTGAATAAAACTAAGAAATTGGAATTTATTCATTGAGATTCATGCCGAATTCAACAGGTATCAAAATCCTTTTGATACAAGGAAAAATGAAGCAAAACTTTTTAATATCTCTTGTTTTTTTTAAAAACGAACAAGGTACAGTAAAGATTAATTATTTTTTTTTAACCCATCAGGAAAACAAAATGAGCTATGAGATTAGGAATGAATTTTTTTTTATTTCGAATATAACGTGACATTTGTCATCATTGGTTGTCGTACCCTGTAGGATTTGTGTTTATTTGCATTTTCGAACTAAAAAAAAAAAAATATTTGGTATCAAGGTTTCAAGCATGCAGATCTGGCCAATCAAC